TTGTTCTATCATTGGTATCAGAGCCTGGTTGTAGTTGTGAATGGTTGGCACGAGGAAGAAAATGGAAGGCAGGATGGCAGAAATGGAACGGAACGTCGAGCGAGGTCAGCGGGAATTAGGTGCGAAGATCGATACGAAGTACGAAGAATTGCTGGCGATGATGCAAGCTGGATTTGCCGAGTTGAAAAATCCAAAAACGGATCGATCAAGAAGTAGGTCGCATCGATCATCTCCGTCGCATCGATCATCTGCCTCGTATCACACATCTACATCGCATCACACTTCTCACCATCATTGATCACCTCACCATCATCGTTCGCGACAATCGGCAAGTTCAGATGGATCGGAAAACAATTCCGACTATTCTCCTCCACGTCGACATCAACACCGCCATCATCACAGGGAGCGTCATCCTCATCATACAGGTAGAAAGATCGACTTACCTATTTGTAATGGAGAAGATGCTTCTGGATGGTTGGTTAGAATGAACCGATATTTTCGCTTGAATCAAACTGAAGAGGAACAGAAAATTGATGTCGCTGTAGTGGCCATGGAGGATCAAGCTCTCAACTGGTTTCAATGGTGGGAGAGACAGGCTACGCATCAAAACTGGGACTCTTTTACTCAAGCTTTGACCAAGCGATTTCAACCTGATATGGTACAGGATCCACTAGGGCCTCTGTTTAGCCTGAAGCAGGAGGGGACAATTCAGGAATACCGAAATAAATTTGAAAAGGCTATCGCTTCACAAGGCCACTTAACTGAAGAAGTCTTGAGAGGAGCCTTTCTTAGGGGTTGAAAAGAGATATAAGAGCAGAATTGAAGTTACATCGAACTAGGACGTTGGCAGAAGTTATGGATACTGCATCCGCGATTGAGAACAAGAATTCTGAAACTTTCTTTGTGAAAAATAAGGATGAAGGAAGGAGGAAATGGCAGACTACTCCTATCATCCAATCTTCAGGCCAGAAATGGGGAGATGAAAGCAGGAAAGAAGGTCCAAGCTGCGTATCTAATGAGGCAAGTCCCAGACTATCCCAAGAAGAACTATTAAACAGAAGCAAGAAAGGACTCTGTTTTAAATGTGGTGAAAATTGGGGAAGAGGACATGCCTGCAAGACGAGAAACTATAAAATGATCCTAGTGGAGAATTCAGACGGTGAAGCTGATTCTGAAGTTGAATCACTGGAATTTGGTAGGGATAAGACCACACCTCTAGAATTGAAGACCATGCAGTTTTCTTTATATGATGAGAAAGTCATAACACCTGTGAAAACCTTTAAAGTAAAAGGTAAACCGGAATGGCATGAAGGTGAAAACACAGTAAATGTACTCATTGATAGTGGTGCTACCCACAACTTTATTTCCCAGCAACTGGTAGAAAGATGGAATATACCTTTCCAAAGTATCAAGGCATATATGGTACAAATAGGCAATGGAAAATTGATTCCTAACTACGGTAGATGTGAAGGAATGAAGCTGAGTGTACAGGGAAATGAAATTCAACAGAATTTTTATATGTTGGAGCTTGGTGGGACTGACATGGTGCTAGGATTGGAATGGTTGACTGATCTAGGTTTTATGGAAGTTAATTTCCAAAACCAGATCATAAATTGGAAGAAACAAGGGCTTAATCATGTTATTCAAGGTGATGGGTATTGGTTGTACTGTGAAGAACAAAGCACAAAGCACAAAGCAGAAGCAAGTACAGATAATTGAAGGCAGAAGGAACGAGCTTATAAAGGAGTACCCTGAAGTTTTCAAGTCAATTCTGGATAAAATGTCATGGCAGTGGTGTAATTCCGCTGTGAAACACAGGAAAAAAATGGAATCAGCCAAGCTAAGGGTGCAGAAATCATGCCACTATTGGAAAGGAAGAAGTGCTAGGATGAAAGAAAAGATAAAGATTGAAGCTGTGTCCTATCAACCACCTTGAGGGCAAGGTGGATGTTTAGGGGGGGAGTATTGTTAGGGATTGGGCCTAATGGAATGTTAGGAATTGGGCCTAATAAACCAAGATTAATAATAAGTGTATTAGTTAGCATAAATAGACAAAACTGGGGAGTAGTCAGTAGGCTGTTTAGACGTTTTAATCTGGGACTTGGGAAGATCGAGAACCTTCTCTTTCTTTTGGGGGGCTTCGGCCATTGTTACGGAACTTTTTCTTCTTCAATAAGATTTCAGTTGTTTTGCTTAATATCTTCTGTGAATTTTCTGTACATCGGGAGCTTGTTCTATCATATATTTACCATCATTTCTTAAAAGATAACCCTCACCTTACCCTCCAAACTCCTTCAAAATCCAACTCCCAAACATATTTTAAGTATAGTTCTTCAGGAACAAGTTTCATGTAATATGTGTTTTTCCTTGATTATAGCTGTTCAAGAAGAGGTTTCATCTCTGCAGACAAGGGGTATGCTTGGTGCAACACTAGATTTGGATCTTTTGGGGATTGAAATTGGAGAAAAGACATTAATTCCAGGACTTGCTGTTGCATCTTCTCGTGCAAAGCCATTAGCAGGTAAAAGAAATTGTGTTAAAGCAAATCATGTGACGATAATTTGCAAAAGATTGAATAAATGAGATTAGACCATAACTTATTTTTTCTTCAAAAAAAAAACATAACTTATTTTTTCCCCATAGGTTGATGATTAGTTCTCTAATTCACTACCTTTATTCCTTTTTAAGACATATTGGGTCTTATTAAGGAGTGTTTGCAAGAGTTTCTAGGCAGTACATTTATGTTTTTTGCTCTAAAATAGCTGGTTGTGAGGTTACTGTGCCTAGTGGCAGGTCTCGAGTGTGAGGTTACCGTGCCTAGTGGGAGGTCTCGAGTTCGAAACCCGCTAGGCACACAAGGGTTTGAAACTCAATGGAGTGAGTTTCAGCCCTGATTACTCCAGGCCCCCCAGTCCCCCTCCCCTAGACCCCCGGAGTAAAAAAAAAAACTAAAAGTAGTCTTTTTAATTTAGTGCTTCTGTTTAACAGTACACACTTCAAATATAAAAGCAGTAAGCAAGGACGTAGTGTTTTAAAGTGTTTTCTCTTTTTGTTTAATATTTACCCTATTCAAAAGTATTTTTTTACCAAACACTTCATCTTCTACTTTTTAAAGATCACTTTTTATTTCTAAGCAATAACAACTTTTACCACTAAATACTTTTTATATAATTTATAAACTGAATCACTTTTCAAAAGCAGAAGTAAATGCAACCACTTTCTCATTTTAGTACAAAACGGTACTTTTATTTGTGCACATGACTGCTTTACTCTTGTTTACATAATTTCTTAAAAAAGAATGCTTGAATATTCGTTTTCTTTCTATTTGCTGGTCCAGCTTGGATGAATGGATTAGAGGTGTGTTCAGTTGAAGTTGATACTGCTCGGGCTCGCTTGATTTTATCTGCTGGGATTTCAACTCGCTACATTTATGCAACCTACAAGAAAACATCAACAACCACAAGTGAAGGTGAAGCCTGGGAAGCTTCAAAGAAGGCCTGTGGAGGTTTACATTTTCTTGCTATTCAAGATGACCTAAACTCAGATGATTGTGTAGGATTTTGGCTCTTACTAGACTTGCCACCTCCTCCTGTATAGGTCATGCCAATTTTTGAGTGAGTACACTTATGATGATGTAATTAAGATGTAAGGAACTCTTAGATTGATTTGAGCTCAATTATAATTAAATGAGGGTTTTTTGTGTAAATCTCGAAAGAATTGTGAACTTATATATAGGCTTCCAAGTTGCTACTGCTCAATGCAGCTTCCTACATGAGGGCATTTGTTAATAGTAAAGATCTGGTTGGAGTGCTTGAAATTGCTGAACTGTAGAAACAGCAGGTCAAAGGGCAGCAACTTCTGATCGTATAATTTGAAGTTTTGAACCTTCTTGATTCCGTGCCAAGTCAAAACTTGAGCTATTTGTGAGATGGAGCTAGTATTTTTAAATGGTACTCTAAACACAAATTGAAGACTAAATACACAACTCGTGACAAATTTTATTTCACAAAAAAAATGTGCCATTTATCAATATGATGCTAGTGGTGGATGGGGACGGGTCGGCTAGACCTGGGACCCGACCTGACCTGGTCAACCGGGATCGGGACCAGGCCCGGTGACCCGACCTGGGGGTAAAATAGGCGGGCTACGGGCTCTATTTTTTGGTGGCTGGAACGGTCGGTCCGGGCTCATTTTTGTTTTTACTTTTTTCCCATTGGGCTAGCTGCTAGGTGGGTGGAGCTGAGCGGTTTGGGGAGTTTGGGGGTTGTGAGTGTATGAATTAATTCGAAAAGACAATAAAAAATAATTATTTCATGCTCGAACTGGTCTCGATTCTAGTCCACCCCTATATGATGCTACTGTTATGGAGTCATATGTGTACTTATAATCAACGATTCAACTAGGGATGGACTGGACTGGGCCGGGCCGAACCGGCCCGGAACCGGACCGGCCCGCTACTGTGCGGGCCCGGTTGGCCGGTTCCGGCCTTTTAGCCCGTGTGGGCAGGTAGGCCGGGCCGGGCTCAGGCCTAGTTTTGGGCGAACCGGCCCGGGCGGTTCGGGCCGGGCCCGGGTCATTTTTTTTTTCAATTTTTTTTCTTTTCCTAGGGTTGGGCTGGGTGTTTTGGGGAGGTTTGGGGGGTGGGGGGGGGGGGGGGGGTCAGGGGATAACAAGAAAGCAAAAAAAAAATTAAGTATTGAACCGGGCCCGGCCCGGTTAGGCCCGGACCCGGTAGCAACCCGGGCCGGTTCCGGGCCCAATGAATTGCAAAAAAAGCCCGCCCGGCCCCGGCCCGGGTCCATCCATAGATTCAACACCACCTGCCTTTTCTACTTTTCATAATATACTAAACTGACCAGAGTATATATTTGAAATTTGGTCAAATTTATGGTATCTATGGTTATTTTCATTAATTTTTTTTATCAAACCATTCAAGGAGCACAGTCAAATACGTTAGTTTTTGGTAGAAAATTCTTCCCTATAAGACTTCTACCAAAATAGGCCTAAAGGATTTGCAGTTTTCTTTATTTGGAGAACTGCAAAGCAGCTGTATTGAAGAGCAAAACAAAATGCAATATCTTAATATTTCTAGCATTCAACATAATACCGTTCATAGTTCCCTTCAAGGGAAAATAGGGAGAAGAAGACATCAATCATTTCAACTTCATAAATACAACCACATATATCTCAAAGTATTAGCGGATCAAGAAAAGAGATCTTGAAGGTCTAGGATATCAGCAAGGACGCCTGCTGCTGTAGTATCATTGCCTGCTCCAGCACCTTGGATAACCAGTGGTTGTTCTTTATAGCATCTGCTGTATATTTCCAACTGCATGCATGTAGGGTAAGGTAAATCCGTAAAGGCAGGGGATTAGAAAATCAGAGTACACTAACTTCCATGAAATTCGTTATTTTTTATATGGGACTCTGTTCCGGGATACTATTTAATCACAAGCATGCAAAAATAAATATCTAAATAAGTAAATATATAAGAAATTGTGGGGAATGGAAGAAGCGGATGATAAAAAAGTAAAGATGTAGATAAGTATTTGCTAACCACATTATCACTCCCTCTTAGTCTCCCTAATGCAGAATCTTTTGGAACTTCTTGGATGCCAACTTCACATCTGCAAAGCAGGAAAAGTGCATTAGATGATGTCTGCAGATATCCAGATTCTTGGAAAATATAAAATCTTTGGCAAGTATAATGAACTTGTGCGCAGGTAAGCCCTTATGAAAAGGAGAATGTGCACAACTTAGCCGTTAACCATTCTTGAAATTTCTTTCCTCTGAGCCCACTTAGTTATCAAACACTAAAGTTTTATCTTTCTTATAACCAACTGTTGATAAGTACGTCTGTAGATGAAGATTATCTATTTCACTACATGTCTTAATGGTCCTCAAAACTAAGGTGACAGTTCGTCCTCCGCTAGTTATGTTCTCACAAATCAAAGTGTGGTATTGATCCCTATAAAACCGACAAAGAGTGTAAATGATAAATCGTAAAAAGAGGTACCTAGAAGAGGCATCAATCAAGCATACATAACGTAGAACGTTCCCATTCGAAGATGCCTTTTCAATCCTTTCTTGGATGCCCTTGTCAAGCTGGGGAAGACCATTGTTTAAAAATTCTTCCAATGGCATCACACCAGGCCCCATGTGTGCAGGATACAAGCTTTCAATCTACCAAATACGTAGTAATTGTTTGTCCATCACATACTTGATATCTACCTGCTTTGGGCCAACCAGAGAATGGAATAAAGAATACACAACTGACCTTCATGCTGTTTAAGTTTATACGATGTCCAAGGAGTCGGGCAAGGATCAAAGCCTATTGTGAATCAAAGCCATTAAGGTCACAAAACATTACATGAAATAATAACACGTGTACTATTGCCTATTACAAAGAAGGGTAAGCAACTCGTGGTTCTAGAAATGCATATATATTGTCTATATTGTGGAATTAAATTTATTTTTACTATAAAAAGAAGTTCCCAAACCTTTCTTGCCACATCCATGCCACCAAGATCATCTCGAGGATCTGAATATCAAATAAAATGTTAATATCAGCAAATGTATCTCAAAACTACTAAGATAAGGATATCACATACAATCTAAATGAATGAGTCTACCATTGATGGCCTTTAAGAGCTTCTTTAGTTCAGGGATTAAGGAAGGGAGGGGCTGCATTTATTTTATATATGATTTATATATTTAGATAGTTATAAAAAATTGAAGATGAATAAAGTACTATATAGAAATGCATTATTAAAAGAATCAAAGAGTTATTTTTAATGTAAACTAACAAAAAAAATACTAAATAAAAATCAATCCTCCCTCCCTCCCCTCTGAAACTCCCAAGCCAAACAAAACCTAAGTGATAGCTTATTGTTCATACATATAACTGATATCTTATCACCTTCTTCAAAATGATACAAGTTTAAATGGTTTAATGATGTAATATTGCATTGAAAAACTGCAGTAAAACTAAATGCCATCGCAGATAATTTTTCCTAGAAGAACTCCACACAACATTACTTCAAAAATCAACAGGGACCGTTTGATATGCCATAAACTGGAAATTTAAGATATGAATAATAAAAAGCTTACATAAAAGAGTCAAAAGGTTTAGAAATATCATTTTAATCAACTTTCATATTTACCTATACAGCTATACCCTAAATGATAGTGTCTGGAGTGCAAATTTCCCTTAAAAATTACCACCTTGAACATCTTCATGGTAAATTCCAAAAAAATGTCTATCAACAGTAACATCATTAACATGCAAACAAATATTTAAAAAATGATTAAAACTTGAACATAAAATTAACTTGAAACACTTGTAGATCTTAAGACATCACCAAATTAACCCTATTAAACAATTTTAAGATCCTTTCACCCTTACATATGAGGCCTAAATAAATCCTTACATATAATACAATTGAAAATTCAATAGCAAAAGATTTGAAACTACTTTGCCTGCATGGAAGTTTGCATAATACTACGTATTATATATTACAGCTTGGGGTAAGTGTTACCTGGTTCAGTGTAGCCAAGGCTTTTAGCGACATTAACCACTTTACTGAACAGTTTTCCATCCTCGACCTCACTCATCACATATCCTAATGTACCTATAGACAAATGTCACTGACATGTTATGCCATCAGATTGTGCAAATAATCACATCTAGAAGAAGCAGCAAGAGAAAAGGCAAGTCAGAAGAAATTACCGCTTAGACTCCCAATAATACGATATACAGTATCTCCAGAAGAAATTATACGACTCAAGGACGCCATGATAGGGAGCCCAGCACCAACCTACAAAAGGGTATAAGAGAAAGAGGTTATTCGTCAAATTGTTTGGTTCAGCAATTTTAGAGGCCGTTTGGCAACCCTCATATTCGGCTTATCAGGCTTATCAGTCAACTTTTTTACCAAACACGTAAATTTTGCTTTCGCGTGCTGAATTGTGTAATAAGCCGAAAAAGTAAGGTTGGAGTTACTTTTCTGTCTGTATTGGCTGAAGTTACTGTAGATGACCATTTTAGCTATTTTTACATATAATTTTTTCTTTATTTTATTAATAAAATATATTTTAAAAATATTTTTTTCTTGTATCAGCAGAATCAGCCAATGCAGTCACTTCAGCCAGAAATTCATAAATTTCAGCAGAATCAGCCAGAACAGCCGATTTTCATGCTGCCAAACGGGCTCTTAGAGGGGAGGCAAGGGGAAGGGTAATATTTAAAAAAAAAAAACAATTCCTACATTTATATGGTTTAAAACATGGTTCTAAAATCGGCCTAGGCGCCAACTAGTCGCTAGGCGGTGGATGGGTGCCCCGGTCGATAAGAAAAATCGGCTGGGCACCTAGACGGGCTAGGTGTCCCGGCTTAAATTTGTTCCCGATCCAACTAGCGTGAGCTAGGTGCTAGACGGTCGGTCACCGCTCGACTAGTGCGTAGAGCCTTTTTAGAACACTGGTTTAAAATAACATAAAGATAAAAAACTATGCAAGTATGTAGGAGTACATTATGTACAATCATATAACCATTTCTAGTCTAAAACTAATACAAGAGATAAATTAGTAAAACAAAAATCAATCCTCCCCTCCTTCCCTCCACAATCAATGAACCAAACATGGCCTTAAACCACAACACCTCACCAACAAAAAGACACAGACACACCATGTTTACAGAATCCTAATTATTGAGAAAAATAGCACTTACAGTGGATTCATATCGAAGACGGCGAAGTTGTAAAACCAACTTGTCATAATCTTCCTACAAACAGCAAAGAAAAAGTAATACATACATGTGAATACAAAAGCGAGTGGTTATAAATCATACCCCCTCCGTCCCAAGAAAGAGTCATGTTTGAGTAAGGTACAATGGTTTTTTATGTTTAGTCAACTCAATAAAGGAACAAGTTGTGCAAGCTATATGTGTTCACTTATATACCCCTAAAACTTAGAACTTATTTCCATGAATGTTTGGAGTAATAGACTAAAACAGCCTGCTACATGGCTTTCCAGCAGCATTACTTTAAAAGTTAAAACTTTACCTAACTGCTCCTTTAACAAAAAAATATCTTGAAGTGGAACCTTTTTTTGTTTTTTGGGATGGAGGTAATACATATTTATGGATGAAAAGCCAGAAGTCCACAAGGCCACAACAACCATATTAGAATTGCCTATATGATTGTCAATGTAATGTTTGGCTGTATATATAAGTCCATACTTCTTTCAAGTAAGCATTACCGTAAGACTTCTATGTCACACATTATATAGCTTCATGAACTGAAATGAAAAAAATGTTTACCATGGATGCAGTGAGTGGCTTTTTATTAGCCAGCACTACACAACATCCAAAATCCGCTACTTTACTTAGAATTCCAACAGTCTCAGGACTTGCTGAGCAATCAACAACTGCCAAACCTGTCTCAAAAAACATTTGCATAAGTTAGTGTGATTAAAAGAAGAGCAGAGCATAACTATCAACTGTGTACATAAGCTGACTATATTTACCATACAAAGGAACAAACCCTTTTGTGATAACAGTTTTGGAATTTCATCTAACTCCTTCTATAGAAGGTTGCAACATATAGGACATCCGTTGCAAAACTTTGACACTATGCTCTTTTGCATGAATTTATAGTCTAAACTAATTATAAACCATTCATTAAAACTATAAATTATATTACACTTACTAGGTTACTCCTAATTAATTGGGATTCAGGTGTTGTTGATGATGACAAAAGGGGCACATTATTTCCTAAAAAGTAAAAGGTTTTAGATTTCCAGACCTGTTGATCTTCCAAGAAGACCTCCAATGTAGATGACTTTTCTTATTGCATCTGTACTTGAAAATGTTGAGCATGGACCTATGAATAAAACAGTCAACGCAAAGTCAGCATTGTAATACCTGAAATGGGCTTTTCAATATCAGTCACAAAGAGCCATAGGCTGTTTTACCTGAATCAAGTGTATGCAAAGAATGCCCGCTTGACTTGGCCTGGCAAATTTCCAATAATAAAGAATCATCCAACTCCGCAGTAAAAACATCATCGGCAACCACTAATGACTTGCTATCGCACACTCCCACAACCCGCAAACGCACTCCCTGTTATGTTCCAAGAATCTGCTTAAGAATAAAAAAAGATTCTTTCTTTCTTCTAGATATCAAAGCTTTAACGAAAACATAAACTCAAAGAAGAAGAGTGTATCAGTCGGTATATTTGCACGGTGTTTGGATGGTACACACTAGATTACCAATTTGGCGTGAAGGGGTCTACAGGAAACAATGTGATGGAGGAGCTGGCAACCAACGCCACCGCAGCCCATCAACAACAATGGTATTTTCTTCATTTTGTCACTGTCTATTTCAGATTGCTGAGAAGCAACTAGATTACTGGTTCTGTGATCATCGCTAAAATGAGGTGCAAAGGGGATGCAAAGTAATTATTGAAAATGGGGCTCAAAGTCTGGCTTAAAAATTAAAATTAGGATGCAAAGTCAAAATATTCCAAATAAAAATCTTCTTAGATATTGAGATGGGTATAGGATTAAGGATGAATATGACTGAAATAAAAATATGGATCGGGTATATATACAGAAATATTTGATAAATTTTATATACATAATTTATACATTAATATTTTAAAAAAATGAAATTCAGATGGGTCGGGGCTTAATATTGCCCCCTCCCTACCGCTTATGTCTTACACTACAATGATTGTGAAGGTATACATAGTCTCATCCGTGGTTTGCGGTTCCATCGGAACCAGAACTAGAACCGCCGGCTTTCCAATCGGAACCGGAACCACATAGTACGTACCACTGGTTTGGAACCTGAGTAGTCACTTTTCACTATTAAACACTAACAAGTTTTGCTAGTTAACACCTTTTATATAATATCTAAAATGATCCGTTTTTCAAAAGCTGAAGTAAATGCAAACACTTTCTCATACGGAGTATTATAGTACAAAAAATGGTACTTCTATTTGTGCACATGACTACTTTATATTTACATAATTATTCAAAAAGAACGCTTGAATATTCATTTCTTTCTACCGGTCTAGCCTAGATGAATGGATTAGAGGTGTGTTCAATTGAAGTTGATATTGCTCGGGCTTGCTTGATTTTATCTGCTGGGATTTTAACTCGCTTCATTTACGCAACCTACAAGAAAAACCCCCAACAATCACAAGTGAAGGTGAAGCGAAGCTTCAAAGAAGGCATGTGTAGGATTTTGGCACTGACTAGACTTGCCACCCCATCCTGTATAGGTAGGTCATGCCATCTTTTGAGTGAATACACTTATGACGATTTAATTAAGATGTAAAGCACCTCTTCAATTGATTTGAGCTTAATTAGAATTTCAATGATTTTTTGTGTGTAAATTTTGAAAGAATTGTGAACTTATATATGGACTTCCAATTTGCAAATGCCCAATGCAGCTTCCTACGTGATATACTGATACCATTGTTAAGAGTAAAAATCTAATTGGAGTGCAGAGTTCATTTCATTGGGTTGCTTAATGAAATGAACTCTGTGTCCCAAAATATTTTCATTTTTTCTTCTTTTCAACCATCCCAAAATAAACTCTTTTTTCTTATAGGATAAAGAATTTCTGGTATATATTTTTTCTCGCATTCTCTTCACAACTTCTGATCATATAATTTTCACAATTTTAATCCCGAACCAAGTCAAATGATGAATTAATTGTGAGATGAAGCTAGTACTTTTTAAATGATATTCTAAGAACAAATTGAAGACAACACAACTACACACACCCGCTTACACGTACACAAATAATTGGTGACATTTTATTTCACGAAAAAGGTTGTGTCATGTATGAATATGACTCTATTATGGAGTCATATACTCATATATGTACTTTTTTATTCCAACTCATATGTGTACTTCGTAACCAACATTGCCTGCTATTGAATGTCCATCTTGGAAGAAGATAATGAAATTAAGATGCACCCAGAGCTTTTGTGAACAAATTCGTCAATTGTTCTGAGGTGGATTTGTAGGACACAATAATGACACCAGAACGAACATGATCACGAATGAAGTGACAATTGAGATCGATGTGCTGTGGGAAAATGTGTTAATAAATTGCATTAAATGGTCATTTTGGAGCATTTATTTGAGTGGGGTCCACTTCCGATTTGGGTCGGGTCAAAGAGGTTTCAGATTGTCCTTGCTAAGTGCTACAATTCAATATGTGGTATACTCAAAACGGATAACGGGTGAATGAGAAATTGATTCTCGAAGTTCACTCGTTGAAATGCCCACAGCAGGTGGCTGCTCTCCGAGCAGGCGGCTCAACAGGTGGCTTCTCTCCGAGCAGGTGGCTGCTCTCCGAGCAGGCGGCTCAGCAGGTGGATGGTCTCCGAGCAGGCGGCTCAGCAGGTGGATGGTCTCCGAGCAGGCGGCTCACACAGTAGGTGGCTGCTCGACCCTGCTGTTGCCGTTATAATCCAATAAATGCCCAACGTTCATGCAATTAAATGGACAGTTACAGACGATTCCATGCCAACGTGCTGGACATTGATGTTCAACGGTAATGTCCATTAAAAACGTAATTAACACACAACATATCTTCCCTATATAAAGGTTGGCAGGTGGCTTTCAACAAGCACACAATTCATACACGAACTGCGCACTTCTCTAGCTTAAAAACCCTCCAGCTTTCTCTGAAAAATTCCTTGGTGTTCATACTTGTTCACGTTCATCAGAAAAATTTGTTTGAGTGCTCAAACAATTGTTCGTAGTCATCGTATCCTGGGAAACGATCGTTGCAACGCTCCTAGCACCCCGGGAGGCAACGAATTCGTTTTAAGGACATCGTGCGTTGCACGAGATTTGGCTAATTCTACTTCATCTATTTTCTGTTTTTCTTTAGTCATTTTAAATAATTATTTTTTATTAATTATTTCTTTGTTTTTCGAAACACACCCAATATGTGCTTAGTGCGTTCATGAAACACAGGATTGGAAACAATGTGTATAACTGCTTTTTTATCACAAAAGAGCGTTATTGGTGGTAATATAATAAGTAAGGAAGAGAAAAAACTCTTAAGCCAAAGTAGTTCACAAGTGAGACTAGCCATGGATCTGTATTTCGCTTTCGCCGATGAACGAGATATTGTGGCTTGCTTCTTTGTCCGCCACGAGATAGGAGATCCACCAAGTGTAATAAAATAGTCCGGAACCGAACGACGAGTGTTGGGACAACTAGCCCAATCGAAGTCACAATATCCAATAAGAGAAAGCGGTGCATGGCGACCCAACAAGATGCCTTGGCCGGGATGGCTCTTAAAATAACGGACACTGAGAACAACATCCCAATGCACAATCCTAGGAGCTTGCATAAACTGGGAAAGAATATGAACAAAATAGCTTATGTCTGATCATGTGAGGGTGAGGTAGATAAGCTTCCCACCAAACGGTGATAGCGATCATGTTCAGAGGAAAAGGGTCCCGAGTCAGATTGGAGTCTGTGGTTCTGGGGCATAGGGAAATTGACAGGCTTTGCGCCAACCAGACCTGTCTCGGCAAAAATATCCAAAACATACTTGCATTGGCACAAGAAAATTCATTGCTCACCCCTGGCAACCTCTAGCCCAAGAGAATATTCCATATGGTCCAAGTCCTTGATAGGAAACATATTACCCAAATAAGTTTTAAAAAAGGAAATCATTGAATGGATTAAATGAACTGTATACTGAAACTTCTTTTCCTAGCCGAATGTTTTTATTTGATTTTTTTTCAAATTTAGACTGGATATATCTAGGGATATTGATGAGAATCTTGATGTTTTTACCAAACTTATTTCTGGTATTAAGTTGTGTGGTGATGAGCATATAGATGATTATACCCCTATTGCTCTTTTAAATGTTATTCCTGATTCCTTTAGTAATGTGAAATCTACTATAAAGTATGGTAGAGATAATGTGACTTTTGACATTGTGGTTTATCATCTTAAGAGTAAGGAATTAGATTTAAAACATATATGTGAGGGTAGAAAATCCGATGAGGTTATGCATGTGAGGGATAGAGATAATAGTAGATGCCATAGATCTAAATTTAGGTCTAATTCGAGGTGTTGCTCTTATTATCATGAATGTGGTTATTTCATAAAAGATTGTCCTAAATCTAGAAAAAATAAGCACAACGAGCATGCTAATTTAACTACGTGTGAGGATGATTTATGATGATGATGTTTTTATGATGACAAATCTATGTGATTATGACTATTTGAGTTCTGTGAAATCTGATTCTCTGGATGAATAGGATTGGTTGGTATATTCTGCTTGTAATTTTCATGTCTTCGTTTAAAATGTTTTTCAAACTATAGAGATTTTTGAGCATGACTTGTGTCTTTAGCAAATGAGAAGATATGCAATGTGCTAAGAATATATGATGTATGTCTTAGATTTTCTTCTCGTTGTGTGCTTACTTTGAAGAAGGTTAGACATGTTCCTGAACTATGTTGTAATTTTCTATCTTGTGCTTTTCTTCAAAATGATGGTTTAAATGGAAAATGAGGAAAGAGAATCATGAAAGTTGTCAAGCGTTGCTTAGTTGTTTTTAAAGTTGAGATCAAAAACATCAAATGCGTGTTAAAATAATGACTTATCAGGCGAAGACCAGGGGAAGGTGGCGTTGAACCCGCCAAATCCAATAAAATGGGCCGATGGTTGGAGCGAACACGAGGAAGGTGGTGGAGCACAAAGCCCGATACAAAGCGCTCTGACCCCCCCCTCGAAATTAGGTAAACAGCGGTCCATAAAATCCCACGTTCACTAAGAAAACGTCATTGATGCATCGTCGGAAAGAGACGATGCATAATGCAAAGATTACAAAAATCAATGATTTTTTTTACGTTGCAGCACATAAACCCTTAAAGGCCTACCCTACGAACGTCCCCCATAGTCCAAGCCAGCTGGGGTGCCTTCCCCCGGATTGTGGCGAGGTCCGTCCCTAACAGGACCCACCCACATCAAGGCACATGGGATGTGCGTGTCCAAGGGTAGATGGGTACCTTGGCCCAGGAGCAGCGCGAGACGCTCGTCTCGTAGGACTTTGGACCCAGTAGGAAACATGAAGCAAGCTCATGGGGAAGCTCGTCCCCACCCCTTGGCGGAAAGCGCATTTAATGCAGAAGATTTGGTGGTTGGGATCGAGCCATCCACAGCCCGCCACATCAGCACATCTAACTACCCATTGGTGGTATAAATAGGAGCATTTATTTCATTGTAAAAGGTTGGCAACTTAGCACTCTAGCATTCTAGCATTCATATCAGCTCGTAGCTTAACAGTTGTACGTACGGCCTCACGCTTTGTAACGACAGTTTTTATTAAGACTCCTTATTGGGCCTTTCCTTGCACTACAAGAATAATAGCTATTTGCTGCGATCATCTTTACCTATTTGAT